ATTGCTCTGTCACTGAAGCTCATCTTCCTTAACAGAGGCATTATCACAGCAACTAGCATCTTTTCATAGACCTTAAGACCTTCTACAAAACACTGGCAATAAAATTCCCTCAAGGCTCCAACCATTTGGTTCACACCCCAGAATAATCTACTATTTTGCTTTAGCTAATTTGCCTGGAGAGGTTAACCTCTCAGTTTGAGATACAAACCCAAAATCACTTATTTGGAAATTGGGAAGTCGTAGAATATTATAGTTGGAAGGGATAGTGGAGATTATTCATTCCCACCTTACCCTTTACAGATCAAGAGAATGAGGTCCCTATAACTCAAGAGGCCACACCGCAAAGTTTTCTAGGGACTTGCTCAAAGGTACCCAGCTGCTAAATAAAGGAGTTCAGACTTTCTGACTCCAATCCAGAAATTTTTCAACACAGCTTCTCTGATGAGTGCCACAAATTGATGCTGACCAGGAAGGAAGAAAGATAAGACATAATCCTCACCCTAGGTTACTTCTGTTTGCTTCAGGGGTCACTTTGATGAGAACATCAAGGGTCTGGCCCCTTTAAAACATAGAGAAAATGATGAGATTAATGATAGCGTAACACTAAGTCGATAAAACTATTCAATAAAACTCAGAAACAGTATAAGCACTCACTGATATGCCACAGAGTTGAAGATCGTTAAAGCTGACTATGCAAAAGTATGTAGGGATTTATACATCTCTGAAACTCATTGAAACTCGACAAGACAATATTTTTATCATGGAGCCAGTAGGCCACTAGCAAATATTGCGCTAGGACTGTGTCTCTATTTTGATTCATTTAATGCCACACTCTTAGCCTTTGCCAGGCATTTTAAGCATTTTGTAACAATCTATAGACACATCTCATGAAACATTCCAGAACACATATCCTCTTCATATCAACATTCATTAGCAGGCTTTCTGTTCACAACACTGATTAAGATAAATATACCAATTTGTTAAAGTCCATGGTATATAACCCAGTATCTGCTTCTGGTATTTATAACTGTGTATTAAATACCAGAAATTTTGACAAATTTTGACTAGTTGTGTTGCAAGCAACAGTAGGAAGATTAAAATCTATAGAGTTCTGAAATGTAAAATAGGTAGTCACTGAAAACACATCAGTATTTTATTGTTACCCTTTAGTATATTCTGCTTCTGATCTTAATGGAATTCTGCTTTTCTTAATGCATCTACACGTGGAAAAAAAAGGTGAGATCCTGAGAGGACAAGTGATTTTTCTATACCTGTTTAGGGGCAGAGCTCAGACCCAGTTGAACTTGTTATATTGCCTATGAAACTGACTTCTCCTCCTGACTTCCCTGTTTTTGTAAATGGCACCATCATTCTCCTAGTCACCCAGGATCAAAGTGTCAGTCTTCCTTGGTATGTCCGTTTCTCCAGCCTCCCATGTTAAATCCCTCTCCAAGTCCTGCAAGTCTTCCTGTCTCACACCTGTTTTATCCTCCCCATTCCACTGCCACCATCGTCATTTATACTCCTATGATCAAAGTAAAGGCTCAAGGTAAAGGAGATTATACACTTGCCTTGGGCGTGTCTCCTCCTTTGGGCATTAGAGGTGAGGGGGAGGAATGTGAGAGGACCAGCTGTTTGGGGTCCTGGGCCTGTGTCAATGCCATTTCAACCCACCTCACTCCACCCCTTTAATGTGACTTATAGAACCTCGGAAACCTAGTCCCAGGAGAGTGCACTTATTTGCCATTGCCACTCTCCTTTTCTTAGTGGAGCATCCTTAACAACTGATTCAGAGAGCTCTTTGAGAGGTCGCTCTCTCCTGGGGGCAAGGAAACCAAAGACCAATTGACCATCTCAGCATCCTTAACTCAGCTTTATTTTGCGTAGAGACAAGGAGAATACTGAGCTAAGGAGAATGAGATTACTTTTTCTCCTAGAGAAATAGTTGCAGACTTTGGTGTTGGATTGATAGGGAATTCCAGGATGTGCTGATCTTCAGTTGAGTTGCATCCCCTTAGAGTGCTTCTTTAAATCCCATCACACATGTAGCCCATGTAAAGGGTGGTTTACTCCTGATAAGGACCAATACTGAAAGAGAGAATCCCTCTGAGAAGATGGAGTTAAAGGTGACAAAAATCTCAAAAAATCTGGTTAGTTTAGTCAGAATATGAGTGTAGAAGTTGATAATTCAACCATTCCTTGAACATAACCTTTATTATATAGAGCACTTACCATCTTGTAATGATTTGTTTACTTGTCTTTCCTCTGCCTGTGTTCAAATGCGGGACCTAACAATGACTAGCTGTGGACTCTGTGTAAGCTATTAACTGTGCTATGCCTCACTTTCCACACCTACAAAAGGTGATAATAGTATCTACCTCACAGAATGATTACGAGTATTAAATTGAGTGTGCATTTGGGTTTCTCTGCCTAGGGCCTAGTACCATGCCTGGCTCATGGGTACTCAATAATTATTTGTGAATTATTTTACTAGTGAAATTTTCTGTAAACTTCTTTGGAAGGCTGGGCTTAGAGTTTTTTGGTCACCTTATAAGCTGAATTTTGGGAAGGGAAGAATTTGACCAAGGGATGCTTTTCTGTTAATCTGACTGAGCTGAAGATAGTGCCTATCTGTGAAGAGAAGTTGAAAGCAGATAAATGTTTTGAATATTTTATGACGGTACTTGAGAAATGTTAGGATTTCTCCATTCCCGCATTTGGATGTGTTCTTGGAATTGCCTTCTGTGTCCCATCCAAGATGGCTAGGAGTTGATTTGAATTTTATCCCGGAAGTTGTGGTCTGTGGGTACTAGACACTTTCTGTGGTCTCACTTAGCCAGAAGTGATCTACCTCTAATATCCTAAGCATTTGGAGCCCATATCCTTTATTGGATACCCTATAGGGCATTGTCTTAGGACGTTTACAGTTGATATGCTTTGTCATTTAATTATTATGGGTTCACTTTAAATTTCAGTTGGCCCTAGCTCCTGTTGGAGAAAGGTAGTCTTATTTGTTTTTTCCTCACGGGACCGTATAGGAGTGGTGAACTATTTGCTGATTGATAGCTCTAAAATTGTTTGTCCCACACATTTGAAAATGTCATTTCTGAAAGGAAAGGTGTCAAATAGCCTTTTCTGGAGATCTTTAAAAATAGTGTAGTTTCTCGCCTGATTGGGGTGTGGAAAGTGAGGCCTTTGGGGGCAATGAAATGGCCTCTGCTTCTGAAATTGGAATTATTTGAACTTTAGTTTGAATGCACATTTGAACCTAACGTGTTGAAAGTATGACAGGATATTTTATTGCAGGATAATCTATTTAGAGGATGAGGCTGGGATCAGACCAAGGATGCAGGTATATGGAAAAACATTCTTCAGTTCAGAAGCCAGAAGAGAAGGGTGGAGGGCAGTTAGGGGAGCAAGAGCATCAGGTCTCAGGTAGGATAGCAAGCACACTTGCCAGGTCTTGCAAGTTCAATTAACTGGTCTGGCAGAAAGCAGGTGCACTAGTTTTCTGTCACTGCCATAACAATACCACACATTTAGTAACTTAATAACACACGTTTATTATCTTACAATTCTCTGGGTCAGAAGTCTTACCCAGCTAAAATCAACTTCTCCATTTGAAAGTCTCACAGGCATCTCAGATTTAGTATGTCCCAAATGGAGCTCTTGCTTTTCAACCCAAACCTGCTTCTCCTGGTATCTTTCCCTATCTCATTAAATACCAATTCCATTCTGGAATTGCTCAGGTTAAAAACTCTGGACTTGTCCTCAACTCCCCTTTCTTGTAAACCCCAGTCAGCAAATCCAGTTGGCTCTGCCTTCAAAATGATACCCAGAACATGACTGTTTCTCACTGTCTCTAGTTTGCACTCCTGCAGTAGCATTTTTGACTGATTTTGCTTCTTCTTCTCATGTCCCATGTTAATGTGTCCTCAGCATAGAAGTCATCATGATTCTTCTAACATGTAAGCCAGATCTGTCACTCCTCTGCTCCCCACGGCCAGTTGGCCCATCTCACTTGGAGTCAAAGCCGAAGGCCTTCTGATGGCCTAAGAGGGTGGGTGGCCCTGTCACTCTGGCCCTCTTTGCTCACCAGTGATTTTGCTTGTCTACCTTGTAGGCTATTTGACCCAATATATCATCAAACTCTCAAAGTTTCCCACCTACCCATAGCCATACGTCATCCTTGGTCAAGGAGGCAGATTTCAGGTCAAATAGGGACGCCTGGTCCCTCCACATCCCATGGCCTACCCCTGCGTTCTCCCAACCCTATTTTGATAGCCATCAGAGCCTGAGTGAAGGGGCTTTTCCTTTCTGGCTCAAAAAGTTGATAGAAACAGATTTCCCTACAAGGTTCCATGCTCCCCAAACCAGTGACAAGCCCAGGGGCATTTTCTGGTTCTGTTGCTCTTGTACCCGGTTAGGCCAGTAACTGAGGCAGCAGTGGCAGCTGAAATACAAACCAGTTGTTGGGGTTTGAGGAGGGGGCAGATGTTCTTAGAAAAAGGGAATCGGAGGGAGTGGTTCCTATTTTTTCTTAACCACATCAGTCTTCCAACATCTTTCTGCTCAATTGACCACACTCATGGGGATTTTGTGCAGCAGACAAGCATCTTCGAGAACAACTGTTCCTCACTGTTGAGTTCAGCAGCTGGTAATGTGGCGAAGGATGCAGAGAAAGCCTTTCCTTAAGGGTTTTCAGGGCTGTATGGTGAGGTATTCACCCTTGTGCCTACCTTTACACTGTTCTTGGTACCTAGAGAGTTCAGTGCATATTTATTGAACTGAACTGACACATTTTTAAAAGTTAATGAATATATCAGATGATAAATCAGTCACACACAAATAAGGCCTAGGGATCACCCATCTTATTATTACTGGAATTCAATATCTGTGTAGCCAAGGAACTGAGAAGGGGGCTAAGATCGGCAAGAGCCTTTTAGGACGTCTGAGGTGGCAGTGAGGTTGATGTGTTGTGTCCTGCTTTTGTCTGATAGGTCATTGCTTGTGAGCAGCAATATGACTCTTCCTATGACGCTCGCTGTGACGTCTGGTCCTTGGGGATCACAGCTATTGAACTGGGGGATGGAGACCCTCCCCTCTTTGACATGCATCCGGTGAAAACACTCTTTAAGATTCCAAGGTAGGACACAAGATGGCGCTCTTGGCTCATTAGTTCTTTGTGAAAGAGGCTCCTTAGAGGGATAATAAATAGTTCGTAAACAATTTCTCTTTAAACCTGAGAAAGCCCTATTGTAAACTGTATTTCTTTTCGGGAAAAAAAAAAACGAGGAGAGGGGAAAGAGGCTGTTTTTGAATGATAACATATCTCAAGGAATAATAGGACTGTATTGTAACAATTGCATATTTTGAGTACTCCGATTTTTCTGAGATGTTCATTTTTTGTGCTTCGTACAAGAAAGCTTTTATGCAATTTTGTATTAAATAATGTGCCTAACTACTGGTGTTTTCTTTTTAATTATATGATCATATCTGGTCATTTTTTCCAGTTTGAATCTTTCTCGAGTATTCAGGAAAATTTGGGAATAAACAAAAATGTGCAACATATTTTTGTATCCACTCAGACCAGCGCTCAAAAATATCAGAAAAATGTAACATCAGTCATATGAGTTTCTCTCCATCCTTAATTTCCGTCTCAATGGGAAACTGTGCTGAAAGAGGTCTGTTTGCAGGATATTTAAATGCCAGTGTATTTTCTATTGTATGTATTCATTAGGGGTTTGTACAAGAGCTTTGGTTGTTTATCTTTCATCAGAATCGGGCTCATGTTTGGCCAGCTCAAGGCTCTAGTTACTGAAAACGAAGAGACCAGGGAGCTCTGTCCAGGCGAGGCTGCAAGTTGAGATTCGTACCTTTCACATTTCTCTTTCAAAGGCAGGCTCTGGGCCGGCTGGGAGCCTTTTAACCGCTTTAACAATACAAGTGTTAACCTTTCCTTATCTGCACAATCACACAGCCGTCACAGCCTTTAAAAATTTCTCCTGATTGCAATTTGCATTTCTGATTAGGTCTATTTATATGCAGATGAGGCTCTGTGGCGTTCATCATCATAATGTTATCGTTTTATACCTAATCCAGATGTGAACAGCCACCCACCACTATTCCAAAAATGATTCCCACCCAAGTCAGGGTTGGTCGGTTTGCCTTTTCTGAAGTACAAAAACAGGTCATGGTGATTAGAAGAACAGACAAAGCTCCTGGCTTTTTAAATTAATAGTCTGGTGAACCTTCAAAATGATGAAAGAACGCAGGACCCCAAAACAGTATTGTATACAGTAATATGTCAGGAAATGAGAAGTGGTGTCTGGGATGATTTATGTGTGTGCTTTGATTTTTTACAGATGGTTTACTCTTCACCATTTGTTTACTGTGGCTACATAATTTCCCAAATATCAGATTCAAGGTGTGATTTCTGCTTAGCAAGATATATGTACTTTTAATAGGTCATCTACTTGGGTATTTTTTTCCTTTCTTCAGTATGTGTTTGTGTATGAACCAACTGTTCAAAAATTTCATAGGGTGACAAATGGGAGGCAGTTTAGAAGGGGGGTGTGTGTGTGTATGTGTTTAAATAGACCATCTCCAATGATTCCTCTTAGCTTGCTTCTATGTCCAGCCAAGCCTCTGATCTCTAATAGTCTCTATGCTCTCACTCTCCTTACTTCTTCCTTCTTGGGAGAAGCTTCCAGATCTGAAACACAAATAACCAAGTCCCTCAGTGCCTGCCTTGGGAAAGAACCCCAGGAATGGGACAATTGCTAGAAAAGGATCTTAGCAGTGACAAGGATCCTTATCCCAATGTAGGTTGAAGCTTTCTTTTTCTCATTCTAGTGTAACCTCCTGCCCTTTTACCATCTCTTGGTTTCTGTGCAAGTGATGAATCAGATCGAACTAGGGAATGTCAACAGTAATTGGTCAGCAGATCCTCAGTGCGATTATGTGTGTTCAACACTTGCCACTGTCACAACCTTAACGGCTGACTTGACATTCCTGGGCAGGAAGGATGGAGGTTTTTTTAAAAAAAATCATAGCATATTTGCATATACTGCATAGCTTTTTAGACTCACCAAGTTATTTACTTAAAAATTACCCTATCATTTAGAACCATGCAGTTCTCTTATGAAGGATTGTGGATTGATTAAGCATGTATGTGTGTATTATCTTAATTTTAAGTGCTAAAAATATAACCATTCCTCAGAAAAGCTCTTTGATGAAGAATGGAAAAATTAAGCATTTACATATTGTAAATAGGCACTCAAATTATTTACCTGTGTGTTTCATGGAGATCTCTCTCAGCATTTGTTTTCTCCATTTCTCCTATTTGGTTATGAGTGTTTTCAGTGTTCTGGAATTCTCTTCAATTAAGTAATGGAGTCCATTTTAAGAGTACTCTGGGACCCAGACTACTGTGTGTGGCTTCTTCATCTAGCCTTCCTCATTTGCCTCTTCCATACAACCCTTTCCTTACTAGAAATAAATTGAGTAAATTACTAAGTAAGGGAAGAAAAGAAAACCTTTACCGAGTGAGGGAAGAAGTGACTTTCACGAATTACAGAGAACTTACGAATTAATGAAGTGCTGGTTCCATGTGAGGTGAGCGCCTCAGATGTCAAAAAGGCAGGTAATTATACAGGTTCCCTGGGCACTGTCAGAAAATATGAAGCGAGACCTGCCTGGATGTGGTTGATTTGCCTGCACGTGGGTCTCCTTGCTCTTCCCCTCTGCCTCTACTCACCTTCTCCTTTCTTTTGACCTTCATATTAGAAGATGACACATGGAGTAATTGTGACCTGTCTTTGAAATACTGCATGACTTGCAATCTTTCCCTTATTGCAAACACAGAAATTATCTGCTGATTGGCAGAACATCCACTATTTGCTGAACCTGTCAGCATGTGTCATCTTGTCTAACACCTGCACTCTGAAAAAGTCACCCCTCTCTGACAGTGGCTGTTTTGTCTGCTATTTTTCTTTAGGAGTTGGAAGAGAGGAAAAAATGAAAATCGTTTCTTTGGGCATCAGTGGGTTCAACAACATCTCTCTCATAATTCTCTTCTGAGGACTCCTTTAAAATTCCAAAGAGTTAGAAGGATCTTGCAGATGACCTGGATATATTTTTCACTTAAAAGGAGATCTGTTTCATAGATGTAATTGCAAGAACCTATAGAATTTGGAAAAATATATAATTATATTGGTCTTTTGGCAATCAGATATCTTTCCTTAGCTTGGAGTTTTTGGCTAATGACCTCTTTGACCTCCATAGACAAGGGTCAGGAAGGCAGTGGGGACCAGTGTGGGTGTGTTTATTGGACAAGGACTGGGAGCCGTGTCTTCTGCCCATTTATTTGAGGCCAGGTAGTAGCTGACTCTGTCCAGTGTCTTACTGTGCACTGAGTACTTCCACTTCATTCCTAAGGAAAAATGAAGACTGTTTTCAGGATTCCCAGCAGAAATATCCTTGGCTGGAAGTAGATGGGATAGAATGACCTGAACATTCCAGCCACTAAAGCCAGTGATTTTCCCTTCCTAAAGCGAAGTTTCCCTGCAGTACCCAATTCAAGAAAAGGAGAACTTGTAATAATTACCATTTCACATTTGGGCTTGTTTTCCTCACCAAATTTAGGTTGTTCCGCACTGTACCCAACTGTATTAGTTTCCTAGGGCTGCCACAACAAATTACCATGAACTTGGTGGCTTAAAACAACAGAAATATATTCTCTCACAGTTCTAGAGCCAGAAGTCCAAAATCAAGGTGTCGGCAGAGCCATGCTCCCTCTGAAGGCACTAGAGGAGAATACTTCCTTGCCCTTTCCAGGTTCTAGTAGCTTCTGGTGTTCCTTGATTTGTGGCAGCATAACTCAAATCTCTGCTTCCATTTTCATGTGGCTTTCCTACCTGTATCTCTGTGTCTTCTTCTTTTCTGTCTTGTCCAATAAAGATACTTGTCATTGGATTTAGGGCCCATCCCATCTAGGATGATCTTATCTCGAGATCCTTGTCTTAATTACACCTACAAAAGACCTTTATTCCAGATGAGGTCACATTCTCAAGTTCCAAGTAGACATATCTTTTGGAGGCTACAATTCAAACCACTGTACTAACCAACTTTCATGTTACCAAATTCCCTGAGAAATTAATTTGGGGGCAAAATATAGGACAACTAGCTAAATGATGATGGAGAAATAATAATAGCTTAGATTTATGGAGTACTAACTATGTAGCAGGCACAGTGGTACGTGTTTCATAAATATAAATGCGTTCAATCCCCATAATGACCCTGCGAGGTAAGAGCTATCACCACCCTTTTTTCTAGAGGAGAAAACTGATTGCCCTGGGAGAAAGCCTCTGGTCATGTACCTATGGAGGAAAAATGATTTGAATCTGAGAAGTTTGATTCCAAAGCCCACACAAATTGCAACTACATTGAAAAATTATAGCTTTTTCTTAAATTATATTTATTTATCGATAAAATCTGAATTGAGCACCAGGGAACTGGAGTAAATAGACATGAATAAGACATCTCGATCTTTAAGAAGCTTACAGTCCAGCATCTTTCTCTCTGCTACTGGTTTTAAACTGACATTGTAAACCTGACTTAGAATTTTATTAGCGTCAATGACTATGTCAGTCAAGGAACTGAAGAACAGAAATTCTGTGATTATGAGTGAACACAGGCCCTCCTTGGCTCACTGATTTGTGATCCCCAAACCAGAAATCCCTCCCTTCTCCAGACTCCCCTTCAGACAACTGCCTTTCAGTTCCTAATTTAGAACACTTATGGCAAGTGTTTGAACTGAAGAATTGCAGAATATATGTTATGTAAAAGCAGAGAGACATTTCAGGTTATCATTATTGGTACCTAGAAGTTTCTTTCCGTCCCACCCTCCTTGCAAAACCTGGCCCTGCCACATCAGGTCTATTTCTGGTATAGTTAGCATCTCCTCCTCCTTTGCCATACTCTTATTTTTTCAGTAGGAAATGTTTGCTTTGATTCTGGGGTGAATGGAAATCTGTTTCTAGCATCCTGAGTTGGAATGCATTTTCTCATGGAAAGTATTTTAAAAAGTTATTTAGGAGGAGGTGATGTAACAGCTGAAGTTCTCACTTTGGGTGCATTATTAGG